AAGGAATTTACAGTTAAATTAGGATTAGAATCAGCACTGATGCAGATGTTTAGCTTTCTGGAGGCTGTTAATCTGAATTAGTGAAAAGTCTGATTTATAAAATAGCCCTACAGAAATGCAGCCTTAATCCTCTGAGGCTCACACAAGAGCTCTGTGACTGATAAAGTGTTGCCAAGAGCAGAACACTGCAGAACTGCCTTAAGGAGCAGACTGGATTGTGCAGACATGTCCCCACATGCTTCCTCTGGGGTCCTAAAACATCCCCCTCACAATCCTTTATACAGTGTACTTTCATAAGGATCCGAATCTTTGAGCTGGAAAATATTTTAAAGATCATCCAAACCCACTTGGGACCCACGATAGGAATATGTCTACCATATTCTCTGTTGCTGGCTACCTGGTCAACTAAAGGCATTGGCTCACTGGCCTCAAAGCCTTGGCTTCCTTCTCGGGCCATTCCTACACATTTTTTGAGAGAGGGCACAGGAGGGAGGGGTAGGGGGGGAGGGAGACAGAGAATCTTAAGCAGTCCCCATGCCCACCACAGAGCCCATGTGGGGCTTGATCTCACCACTCTGAGATCATGACCTGAGCTGAAGTCAAGAGTCAGACGCCTAACTAAGTAAGCCACCAAGGCACACCAGCTGTTGATTTTTAAGTCTTTCCTGATGTTGAGGTGAGATCTTTCCAACTAAATCTCTAGCTCGTTGTACCAGTTTCACCTTGGGAGGCCCTCACAACAAACCACCCCCTTTCACACAGGACAGACTTTCTGGGTTTTTGAAGACTGTCACCATCTGAACCTATTCCTCCCTGCCCCAGAATCTTCTCCAGGCAAAGTCATTCCAGTTCCTTCATTCAGCTTTCCAACTCTCTATCTTCTGGTACAAACTGAACCTCTTTATTGCAGAAGAGGCCCAGTCAGTGTAAGCATAGAGAGACTGTCATGTCTAGACACTAAGGTGCCTGGACTACCTCTCAAAACCCACCTTTCTCCCTGGTATGCTCAAGCCTTCCACAGCAGGGCCAACCCTGCCTGGACAAGGCATTGGAAATCCCTCCCAAACTTCTCTCTCACTGACCTGCTCTTTGATCCCCTTCCCTAGCCCTGGATTTCCCCTGGTAAGATCTTTGACTTTACTAAGCCAGCTCCTTTGCCCTCAGTCTGGTCCCTGACCATGAGGACCTACTAATAGGGGTTGGGGTTAAAATGAGGTTTCACTACTCACTGAAGATGGCTCATGCTAAGGAACACAATACCGGAATTGGATCTCTGAAAAGGTTGAGCCACTGACTTGGAAGTTGGTATAAATGTGGGTCCTGTGAGAAGTTTTATTGCATTGGGGTGAAGTCATAGAGTACCACTGTAATATTTACAGACTATGGATAGATGGTTTAGTATGACGAATGGTAATGATTTTTAATATAACACATTATCTTTGTTGTCACCACTAGCATTCTTTTAAAAAAACAGATGACTAAAATATAAGAGGAAATGGTGCATGGACAGTAATTCTAATACAGTTTGGTGAATGAAGAATGTATTAAATGCACATTACTCTCTCATCTCTTAGGCAGAACCAAGTATTGCATGATCTAGCTTCTCTCATAGCCACTTTAATATATATGCAGAAAATAAATTGGCAATGTATGAAAATAAATGTAGCAGAAGGGGCGATTTAACTAGCTGAACAGCTAACGGGTCTCAGTGAAAATCTGTGAGTGAAATACTCTGATGATTTACCCACTCGAAAGTTCCACCATGGATTCTAGGCAAGAATGTGGTCCTTGGCCAGTCATTCTCATATTGATGTTTGCATTGTTGGGTGCAAGGTGCCCAGAGGAAGTAAGGATCAAACAGGCTCAAATATGTGGCTTACATTCCTCCACAGGCTGGGTGTAGCCAGAATCTCCGGCAAGCCTGGGAAGAGCAGATGGATAATAGAGGCAGAGGGAGGTACTGGGGAGAGCAATTTTGCTTCCATTTTAAACAACTCTTATTCCCTCCCTGTTTCCAACTGCCCAGAGAAAGCAGTTCTTTCTCATTAAGGTGCTCAAGTCCTTCACCCGCAGCTGTAATCCTCTTTATACCCTCTCTGAATTCAAATTCACCTTCCCTCTCATCCCCAAGCATCCATGTTCATTGAGGTGGGTATGAAAACCTGGTGAGCCTCTTCCTGTTCTTTCTACACTAGTCTCCCTCAAGGGGACATTGTCCATACTGACTCACCATGGGGTCCTCTCATCCCCAAGCATCCATGTTCATTGGGGTGGGTATGAAAACCTGGTGAGCCTCTTCCTGTTCTTTCTACACTAGTCTCCCTCAAGGGGACATTGTCCATACTGACTCATCGTGGGGTCCTTCCTAAGAACACAATAGATAAAGTCGTAAGAAGTCTTAGGGAAAATAATCACAGGTCTCATTCTATTGAGTCTCAGTCAAGGTCACTCTGAGGTTTAAAAGAGTCTTTATTTCATATCCATATCTATCTATATTTACTTGTACATATAGTTATAGTCCACTTTTCATATATGGTTTCTGACCACATCCACGATCCCTTAATCACAATTATGAAATTAAAAAAGTCCTGAGAGCTGTCATCTTCCTGAACTTTGAGACAAACTCATTTCATGACAGAACCCGACCTCTTACTGTTAATGTTATTGTAACGATATTTAGTGAGTTTTATTAAGGGATACTGCATCAAAAACTAATGATGTATTTTATGGTGACTAACATAACACAATTAAAAAAGGGATCCTTCCCCAGATCCCACTTGAGCTATTATACATATAACATGGTATATTCACATTGTTAAAATTAAAAAATCTGAACATCAGAATTCTTTTCCCCTTCAGAAGGCTTTGGATAAGGAACACCTGTGTACAAACACACACATATGCAAGTTTCCGTCTATGTCTGTGAAACTTTATTGTGGTGGAGCTGATGAATAACTTTATGTGTTTCACCTCAGTGCATTCATTTTTTAGCGAAATAATCCCTGGGATTGTTTTGCTTCTTACAGCAATGGCTCAAAAATAATCCAGTAAATGGAAACTCTATCCAGAAATATTCCAAAGTCAATCTAGACTTGAGTTTGGTAATATTGGGATAAGTGGAGTCTTAAGAGAAACCAGACATGAAGGCACAGATATGAAAGAAAACTAGAAAACCATTTGATTGTATCTCAACCCAGCAGCCCCTCGGCTCAGGGCTGCGGCTGCTCCATGCTGGACCTGAAACTTTACTTGGGAGGAACTGAGGCCAAGTTAGCATACTGTCTGGATTGGTCTCATTAAATCTGTTCCCTCTGTCTTTATTTAGTTACCAGAGACAGAAACAATTGATTAGATTTAGAGGGTACTTTGCATAAATGTGGAGTCTTTACTGCCATAAAGGAGAGACTTGCAAAAGAAAGAAGGGAAGGAGAGTGCTGGGTCGGAGGACGCGCCCCCCACCCCCTGTCGGGGACACACAGACACGCAGGCACGCAGGCGCGTGTGCGTGCATTTTCCCAGGGGATACAGTCCCCTATTTCCTCTGCTTCCCCTAATCTCTTGGTGTATTTGGCAGAGAAATGTACTTTCGGATAGCATTTACTTAGCAGATAGCATTTTAAAATGAGCTTTGCTTTATGAAAGAAAATACCTAACTGGGAGATTAAAAAGGCAGCCTTTAGGGAGGTAAGGCACATGGTGTGAAAAGGCTCTCTGCATTGGACAGGTGGGGGCAGGCAAGGAATAGTGCTCTGTGCCTCCAGAATCTTGGGGAGAGGGGTCCTTGGGGTCCCTCTCACTCCAGTTTGAAAGTGGGACCACAGGATGAGGTGCCCCTGAGATGAGGACTGCACTCTCCTGACTGAATTGAAGTGGGGAGAGAGCCTAGCTGGGAGCTGGGAGCATGAGCAGCAGTGAGCCCAGCAGATGGGGGTGGGGGGCAGCCACTGGCAGAGCAGCAATACTCACCACCAGTGAACTTAATTCCAACGAGGAGATTGGGCTGCTGAGACGGGAGTGGGGGCGAGGAGAGTCCTCCCCACCCCCTGAGGCTGGAACCACACTTCTCACAGTGAGCCTGAGGACGTGGTGAGGATATCACCCACCATGGCAAGAGACGGTGCAGGCTGATCTGTTATGGGCACTGGGAGCAAATGATTAGTAAGGAAGACTATTGATTATCAATGAAGGCAGAGTGGCAAATGGTGTCAATTTCCAAATACTTTGCTTGGTCAGCTTTACAGATTTGAAATCAATCATTAAACTTGCTTGGTGCCTTATGAACATATCTCCTTCTAAGAGTTTTACAAAGAGTTGATAAAAATTAAGGTGGAGGAGGCCAAGAAATGTGACTCTGGCCCCCTCAGTGCTAGGTGCTGGGCACCAGCAGTGAAAATGTTTTTCACAATCCCTGCCCTTGGAGTTCCCATCTCACTTCTCCAACTAGTGGGAGGCAGAGGCCAGCCTCTCTCCCTGTGGACCTTAGTTTCCCCCGATTAAAATGGGGTTTGAATTCACCCCTCCTTTGTGAGAGGACTATACCGTGTGTATAGCTGAGACCATAGCCACGTGACAAACCTCTGGGTTTCTGAACAAGATGGCCATAGGAAATGAAAACTTATCTCAACCCAGAAAGCATGGGATCGTTAAGAATCTATGGCTATGTGTCAGTCTGTAGCATCTGTCTCTGGGTCCAGAAGGCATGCATCCTTGCCTTAAAGAGTTTATGTGGAATGTGGGAGGCTAGGCTTTTCTGAGAGGGAAGATAATGTCATGGAACCCAAAGAACTTGGCCACATTCAGGCCCTGTTCTAATGAAACGTTTGACCTTCAGCCACTCACCAGGCCTCCTGAGCCTCATATTTCCCATCTATAGAATAGGACGGTGTACTCCAGTCCACCCACATCTGACAGATCACAGGCCCTGATGCTGTGCGAGGGCAGGCCCTTGGCCTGTTGATGGGAGACAAGCAAGGCAATGAATGATGTCATTTTTCTTTCAGCCCACTCTTGGCCACACCTCAGCCGCCACCTGCAGTGCCAGTCAGTGGGGGATCCGGCAGCTCCAGTGACTCTGAGAGCAGCTCTGAGTCAGACTCAGACACCGAGAGCAGCACCACCGACAGTGAATCCAATGAGGCCCCTCGTGCAGCCACTCCAGAGGTGAGGGGTGTGGGGGCTACAAGTGCGGTTTGCCTCTCACCTGTCACCGGGTTGCGTGGCACTCCCGGTGAACATGCATACGCACATGCATGTGCGCACACACACACACATACACCCAACACAATAAATACTTCAGTGAAGTACTTGGGTATCTGAAAGCATTTTTTTCCCTCTAAAACATATAAGTGCACAGACCCTAAAAGATGGACATTCCTTGCTATATGACTCACTTAGCTCCTCCGAGCCCCCAGCTTCTCATGTGTAAATCTGGAAGAGTCATTACCGGGTTTGAAACTCCTCTTTTGGGAGAACCAGTCAACCAGACCTACTTCTGGCCCCAGGGATACCACCCCTGACTCCAGGTTAAAGTGATGAGTTGCCACTTGGCAAGGAAGACCCAAGAAATGGGATGGATTTTTGAAAATTTTGGTTGCATTCTCCAAATGTGTTTGATGATAATTCATGAAAATATTGAACACAGCTCCCTAAAATACCCAAATTACACTTTTGAAATAAAAAGCAATGAGCTCTTCCCCTCCCATCCTTGCTGAGTCCAGAATGACCCTTCAGTGGTCCCAGGCCTGTGCCCCTTACAGCAGGCAGATCCACTCCAGGGCTCCATGCACACTTGTTCATTATCATCAGAAAGAAATATTGGAGAATGCAGTAGTGCCAAACCCACCATTAGTCATAGCCAGCACTGTTTGAACATGGGCCCTGGGCTGAGAAGCTCTTGACCTTCACTTTTTTGTGTTATCCTCGTAAATCTTCTCTGGGGTCCTTGCTGTTACTATTCCCATTTTATGGATTAAAGAATAAGGTTCTGAGAGGTTAAGAGAGAACTTTCCCCAACCCTTGTCTGCCATTGCCCTGTGTGCAGTGGACTCACAGCTACTCAAGTGTTTTTAATTCTGTCACCCTTTATTGGCTGGCACCATTAAGCCTCAGCTGATTGGCTTTCAAAAGAAGAGCAGTTCTAATAAAAATTATGGCTCTTTTAGTTCAACAGGCAGAATTCAGAGTTGGGAATCAAGCACCTGAATTGTACGCATCATTTCCGTGGCTTAACAGCAGACACTAATGTCTGCATGCATGTCCCCATCAACTGGTTATTGCCCATACACTGGGAAAGTGTGGTGGTTTTGGGGAAGTCAAATCATTTCATCCTTCAGTAAAAATAGAAAAGGCTTGTCCTTTTTTGCAGTGAATTACAGCACCATAGAGAAGGCACTGGGACTTTTGCGAATAGAAAATCTTTCCTGTTGAATTACACTTGAAGCACATTCACATTGCTTTTCAGGACCCATGATCATTACTTCTGCCTCCTGGTGAGAGGATGAGCAATGAGTCCCACCAAAGGATTTTGGGAACAGGTTTCCCAACCAGGCCTCCGTGCCCACCCTCTGGGAAAACTCTCTGTGAATAATTCTTTCCTTCCTGGCCGGAGTGGAGACTGCTTTCAGAAGAGGGGTGGAAGCTTGTTGCAATAAGTAGATCGAGGCTGGTTTGTGGAGTATTTGTCTCTCTGGGTAATTTGATGAATTTAGATTCCATGTGTGTCTTTAAATGTGTGAATGGGCACTTAACATCCACAGCTTTTATCAACATTCAGTGTACTAAGGGTCCTTCTGGATTCTTCCAAGATGTGAGATTCAGTCTTGCTGTTGTTTCTCACCTGCAGCCTGAGCCGCCCTCCACCAACAAGTGGCAGTTGGATAAATGGCTTAACAAAGTGACATCCCAGAATAAGTCGTTTATTTGTGGCCAAAATGAAACACCCATGGAGACAGTGTCTGTGCCTCCTCCTATCATCCAGCCAATGGAAGTCCAGGTCAAAGTGAAAACAACCCCCAGCCAGATCCTGGGTGAACCCAAAGAGAGGCCTCTCCTCAGTCTTATTAAGGAGAAAGTCCGCCCACGGCCGACCCAGAAAACTCCAGAAACCAAGGCTTTGAAGCATAAGTTGTCGACAACTATTGAGACAGCCTCTCAAAGGACAATTGGAAAAAAACAGCCCAAAAAAGTCGAGAAGAACACCAGCATTGACGAGTTTACCTGGCCCAAACCAAATATTACCAGCAGCACCCCCAAAGAAAAAGAAAGCATGGAGCTTCCTGACCCACCAAGAGGCCGCAACAAAGTCACTGCCCACAAACCAGTCCCTAGAAAGGAACTGAGGCCAAACGTTTCCCTGGCTGCCGAGAAAAAGAAGTACAGAGGGCCTGGCAAGATTGTGCCCAAGTCCCGGGAATTCATAGAAACGGATTCGTCCACGTCCGATTCCAACACCGATCAGGAAGAGACCTTGCAGATCAAGGTCCTGCCTCCTTACATTGCTCCGGGAGGCAATACTGCCAAATCCAAGGAAGCCTGTGGCGCCAGCTTGACCCTCAGCTCCTTGGTCAGCAACAGTAGCAACAACAGCCTAACCACCGGTAGTGAAGAGCCTGCATTTTCACCCGCCCCTGTCATGCAAACCGAGCTGTCCCCACTACGAGATCACGAGAACCTGAAAAATCTGTGGGTGAAGATTGACCTTGACCTGCTATCTAGAGTACCTGGCCACCACTCACTGCAAGCGACACCAGCCAAGCCAGACCCCAAGGAGCCTGCATCCAAGCCCAAACGCCAGACCACCGCTGCAGCCACTGAAAAACCCATCCTGAAGGGCAAGCGTAAACACAAGGTAGGCTGTCCTCCCATCCCCCATGGTGTGCCGAGGGATCGTGAGCAGCAGCTCTGTGTTGGCAAACTTGATATTAAGCCTCATGTTCAAAGATGCTAACAGCCATGGAGTGCAGTCTCTGAAGGGCAATGATGCTTTCCATGAGAAATGAGGGATTCACTGTGACCTAGGAGGAAGTATTAGGAATGGTCAGCGTTGGGCAGCCAATATGAAGAGAATCCAAAATGGCACATGGGAGATTATGATGGGAAGGAAAGAAGGCTGTGGAGACAGTTGCCTTCCCCAGGTACCCAGTCCCTAGCATTGGCTCCTTAAGCTGCCCTGGCTTTCATAGACTCACAGGGTCACCCCCACAGTCCCCACCCTGGCAGCCGCAGGGCACCCAGGTGATCCCAAGCATTCAACATGCCACCCCTGGACCTTGTTAATCTCTCCAGACACACATCAGCATCCTCACACCCTAGTTACACGTTGATGCTCCCTGCTCCTAGCAGACACACGGTCTGCCCAGACTGCTGGGTCCCAGAGCTGTGTGGTTGGCCTGACTCATGGAAACCTCACCTGCAAGAGGTTAGGACTGAATTCCAGGGCTACAAACTCTCACCAGAAGGGCAACTCTCAATCTCGGCCTCATGAGTTCGAGCTCTGGCCCTCACTCTTCACCCATCTTCGGGATGACAGGCATAACTTCAGAACCAGCCAATGCAAAGGCATGTCTTACACATGGTTTATCGCTTGGCATGTTATTGGTTGTCTAAGTGACCTTTATATGTGACACATGAGTCCCACACTGTTTGCACAGCCTCATGCTATATTAGAGTTGCAGTGTTAGTTTCTCTGCTACTCATTGATGGGGGCATTGTTGATGGAAGAAGAGTCTGAAAACGATAGGTTCTCTTTACTTTTGGTCAGAGATTCCTGTGCCGCCCAATCTTTAATCAGAGGTTCACAGCGCAGCTCAACTTGCTCAAATGCCAGCTTCTTGGCTGATTGTTTTCTGTCTGAGCAAAGGTGTGCATTTAACTCCCCGAGCAAAACTAGAAGTTAAAATAGAAGCAAACTGTCTACCTTGCTCATGGTTTTTCAGTGTCGGCATGTGCCATGTATTTCAAGTTCTGACTTTTTCTTACCATTAAAGCCAACAGAGATCGCAGAGAAAATCCCTGAGAAGAAGCAACGCCTGGACGAGGCCCCCGCTATCTGCCTGCTGCCCCCTTGCATCTCACCAGCGCCACTCCACAAACCTCCGCACACTAAAGAGTGAGTTTGCCCTGTCTTGGTAGGACACCTCGATTGTTTGGACCCCTCAGAAATCTCAAAGGAAGCCTTTTGAGGGTGGGGTGGGGTGGCAAGAGTCCTCTTTCAGAGGAATGGCAAGTAAGGAAACAGCCAGTCCTGACAGCTGGTCTATCAAGGGTGGGATGAAAGCTGGAATGCAGACTGCCAAATCTTGCATATTCCATGAGCTCTATAGCAATCTTTCTTTAGTCCAACTCATGCGGGGACCAAACTCGGCCAAAGTGACCTTTTAGCCTGAAGGGAAGAATAAAAGAAGTGAAGGAATTAAAATAAGAGAGCACCCAGATCGCCTGCTTCTGGGCCACTTCCCGTTTTGATGGTGATGAAAGCAGCCTTTGCACAATGACCCAGTTCCTGCTTCCTCTTTGGAGCCATTCCGTGACCTAAAGACAGAGCTTGAGGGCTAGGAGGTCCATCCTGACATCCTGAGAGGCCAGGGGAGTGACATGTTTGAGGATGCCACCGAGAGGAGACATCTGAGAGCTGCCCCAGCCCCCCAGGGGCCATGGTGTGTCAGGGAAAGCTGGCTGGGGATGCATCCATTAGTGCCAGAGTCAGGTGGGAGGCCTCCCTCTCCTCTTCACTCAGATGGCCCCAGCCTTCCCTGGAGAAGTCCTGAGATCTGTTGCTACCAAGCATTGTGACCAAGTTCTTGCATCTTAGAAGTATCACTTAACTAACAGTCATGTTAGCTACTGGAACCATTCCGTCTGGATAATTATTGCCATAAATTCATTCAACATTAGAGATTACTTCCATCAAAGACCAGTTTGGGAGCCTATTAGCAGCCCAGAACAGAGAGGCAATCTGGCTAACTGCTGCTAACAATTGATTTCACAGATTACTGATGTTAATCAGTTATATGGTATCAATCTGCCACAGATAAGATGTCGGAAATAAGTTTTCGGCTTGTGGTTGTAGAGATCCATATATTGTTTTGAGATGAAAGGTAGGAAAAGACCAATTACCTCTCTATCCACTTGGTATAATAAGGAGATTGGGGCCCCAAGCTTCTCCTCTCCCTGAGAATCTGTGGCTCTTCATACAGTGCATCTGGTATAACTTTGCTCTGAGACATCCCTGCCCATACTTGGAGTTCTCAGACCCAGCGACCCTTCCAGTGGGGCAAGCTGACCTCTTCACTCCCAAGTGAGCCAGCCCTGTGGGGAAGCAAGCTCCTTATCTGGGGATCAAGCATGGTCCTTCCATGGCCCTCCTCCTTCCCTGGAAGACAGACAGAAATGGTATGGCTGTTGTGGCCATAGCTCCCCAGTTTCCAGGCTTCGACCTGTTCAGGCAACCCAAAGACACAAAGAAAGGGCAGGAGGTGTTGCCACAACCATTAGTCTCTGACACTAGCCTCTCTAAGCAGCCCAGTGACCCTCCACTTCTCCCATCTCATGGAAGAGATACAACCAAGTATTAAGTAAATGTCTAGTAATTTGAGTTTGTTCTTCAGAAAATGGTGTTGCTAACTCATGGTCTTTATAGTCTTTCTGCTTTTGTAGTCATTAGAAAAGCAGTGTTTACCTAGTAGCATTCATCATTCAGGAAGAGCCTGGACCAGATTCTTAGGCTCATCAAACAAACCCAGATCTGTGGAAAAAATCTCCAGAGCTGACAGAGAGAATGAAGCCAGGACTGGCCTCTCAGAGCTCTTCTCCCGGGAACCCCCTCCTCAAGTTCCATCTGCTCCTTTGTGCCTTATTGACCTTCCAAACCAAATTCTTAGAAATTTGTAAACATTCACTTTTCTAAATGAATGTCTAAACCCAGCAAAGAATGCCACACCAGACTATGACAGCCACAGTTCTCCGTCATCTAACAGGAGGGCCCTGCTGAGTCCCACCCTTGCCCCTCAACACACACACACCCACCTCCTTGGGAGCTGGAAGCATCAGCAGGGCCTCTGAAGCACTGAGTGGTGGTAGTGACACACTTATCTTGTCCACTGTCCCCCTCTGACCTACAAGAGGTGCCCAAGTGGCAAAACCTGTTCTTGTAATAAGAAGCCATAATGGTGATAGAGTGATTTCTAGAAAATGCTCCCTGGCTATCCTTCACCAGGGAAGTTATTGAAGGCCCCATGGTTCCAGCTCACTACCAAACAGATGGAAAAGGGGCCAGGGGACCGGTGCCCACTGCATAGAATGTGCTGGAGTGTGTGTGGTGTTCTGTGTACGGCGGCAGATGGGAAGGCCAAGCATGACTGTAGTGGTCACTGGCAAATCAGATGCAGCTCAAGTAGTGGAGGAGTGGCTGTAGCTAATGAACCACTCACCTCCCATAGACGCTCCAGTAATGCTTGACATCTCTCTGATGTCCACTGCTTCTGTAATGATCATACTTAATGCGAGCTGATGGCCACAGAGCTTCCTCGTGGACATGGGTCCTAATTCAACAGTTTGCCATCCTTTTTATTGGGCATCACAGCTATCTTAAAATGGTTCTACATGTCAAAGCACTTTTTAAATTCCATTGGCAAATATTTTAATTAATCTTAACTAATTAATGTAATGGCAAAAACAGTTACTGTTTTTAAATATTTTGCTGCTTCACAAAACTTGACATAGGGCCACATTTATGAAACAAAAGTTGGAGAAGACGGCAAATGCTATTATAGTTGGCAAACTTGGGCAACACAGTGGAAGGGGAACAAGGAGACTGCATTGACTTCTACCATCTCAGGGAAATCCACTTAAATGCTTGTTCATCTTTGATTTGTTGCCTTGACATATTGTAAATCTATATTGCTAGACACTGACTGAAATTGACCAAGAGGAAAACATAAATTCTTGTTGACTTAATTTGCTATTGAAAATTGTATCAATAATCATGGAAAGTAAATGGCTGCATAGTGCCATATTAGTTGTCTAAGAAAAGATTAAAATTCAAGTAATCTTCATTGATTAGGCTAAGACAGTAACTAAAATGAAAATCCATGACCCAATTACCATGTTAAGCAGCTAGCATAAGGTTTTAGTTGTTCTGTTTTATTTGAAGTCTGTCTCTTTGATGGTGCCCATTTAATGGGCAGATAAATCAGTCTGAAAGCATGGGAGAACTTCTAGGACAACAGATGTCTTATGGCGATATGACAAAATAGTTTCCAAATGGGTTCCACAAAGGGAAGCACATCAGTACTCCACTATAACAGTGTAAGGTCAGGGGCTTCTTGTGCCTTGGTATGGGCCTAGAATATGTTGAACATATGGCTCTCGGTGTGTCACAAAAGTATTTAGTGTGTTATTGATAGCTAAGTAATGTACAAGCATAATATTTCTTAAGAAAATATCCCCCTACTAATTGTTTATTGTTCCATTTATTGTGTGATTATGCAGTTAAGTCCTAGGGCAAAATAAGTAGGAACCATCCTAAAATATGATGGGATTAAAGTCTGCATTGGATTTTCCATAAAAAATCTAATTGAGAGGAATCTTGAAAGGTTACAAATATCATACTGTAGCACCCTCCATTAGACAGTTACATTTATCATGGAGTTCTGCTTCAGAGACATGTGTTTATTCTTAGATACATCTATTTGCATTTATTTATAGCTAGAGCTCTCTATAGATATCTATGTCTACATGCATTTTTGTATATACTCTTCTTCACCATAGTTAAAGGACGATCAACTAAAATCATACTTAAATTGAAAGTATCCACATCATGGGAAAAATCACAGAAGAGAGACAAAACTTTGTGACACTCTATGCTTTTTGTTTACACAGAAACAGTTCATCCAGGAGAGCAAATAGAAGGAAAGAAGAAAAGCTGTTTCCTCCTCCACTTTCCCCACTGCCAGAGGACCCTCCACGCCGCAGAAACATCAGTGGCAGCAATGGCCCCTTTGGTCAAGACAAGAACATCCCTATGATCGGACAGATCACCTCTACCAAACCGAAGAGAAGTGAAGGCAAATTCTGTGCTACTTTCAAAGGGATATCCGTAAATGTAAGCATCTCAGAAGAAGTATTATAATCATCAGGTACAAACAGGTTGACCCAGCTTGTCTAACCAGATGTGACCCCCGAGGGAATGGGAGGAAGAGGCAGAGAGAACAGTGTACAGAAATATGCAAAAGCTCCATTATTTCAAATCTCGATTGTTCTTATGTAGGATGAATTTTTCATTCCAGTCTTACTTCTCCCAACAAATTATTATGCAGAGACTCGGGGCTTTGGACATCCTTTGGTCTAATGCTTTCATATCTTGGCAGTGGAGACACACAAGGTACTGATCGGGCACATGGCATCAGCACTGATCATTTAGTGAATGAAAGAACCAGTGGATGAGGTTGGATTGCCCAAGGTCACTGGATTGGGGCTGGAACTCACAGTTGCATCTTCCCAGCACCCAGTGCAGCAGGTGTGAATTGTGTTTAAAATAGTGACCCAAAAGGATGGAATTTAATAGGTGAATCTGTTGGTAAAAATTGCACAGCTGTGGTTCTAAGCTCGACTAAAGGATTATCCAGCCCTTTGGATTTTCAGCACCGCTGCTCTGTTAGTATAGAAAATTGAGACTTTGCATCATTTTTCACATCTGTGCAGTCTTTCTGTCTGTCTCGGGTATAGGTACCTAAAGCACAGAAGCCACAAGCAAAGTGTCACCGGTGAATATTAATGACAAATGCATCTGCTTTTCCATGTAAATGTATGTATGTGCAGATGTGGCATCTGTATGCATCTAGTCTCCTTTAAGTGTAATGTAAAAAAGCAAATATGGGAAAATCAATGAGCTTTCAAATGTCTTGATGCCAGCCTGGTGGACCCTGGACTGAACATGTCCATTTACCACTCCATGAAAAGCCAAAAGGCCTCTGAGCTTGAAGGACTCCAAGGTAGAGTCCTCCATCATCTGAGATGACTGGCATGGCACGCATATCTAGGCCAATTTCATCGCTGGTATGGAGCAATTGGTCTATTGTAAAATAGTCATTTTCCATATGAAATTGTGTGTGTGTGCATGCATGCGCCCACACAATATTTGCATTCACATTTAAAAATGCTGACCTCGTTAGAAATTAAACCATCTACTCTAAACAGTAATTATGCTATCAATCCCATTTTTCATACTGAATGTAATTAATATGGTAAACTCCAACTGGTGCTCTTTTCTCTTGCAAGCTTTAGGAGGACATACGCCAGACCTAGGCAATTCTCTTCATACAATGCCTGGTATATTGGCACAAAGAATTAGGTGCCTAATACAGTTGTGATTGTGACAACGGTAATGCTTACAAGCATCAGCAAAGTCATATCTATAAGAACTAAAAGCTACTAGGGAAACCCGATAAATATGGTTCCGTCGGCACCTAGAAGTGGATTGCCCTCCTTAAGGAACTCATTGGAGTCTCCCATGAGAGGCTCCCATGACTGACTACCCATTGCCCCTTCCTTTCATAAATGATTTGAAACCTGGAAGACAAATACATTTTTGCCTTAGCCTGGAGGTTAGGAGGCTTGGTGCATGGTGTTAAAACTTCAACAGGTTTTCTATGGCCTGGGACAAATTACAAAACCACCTTGAGTCCATAAAATGAGTGGATTGGATTAGATGATCTGTAAGGCTTCTTCCAGCTCCCAAAGGATTTTCAATCCTGTGCTCTCAGAGTCTTCTGTATTCCACTTTGGCGTGAAGTCTCGTTTATTGATTCAATAGATGGCTGAGCATGGATGGAGAACACATTTATGTAACTTGCATGATCATGACTGAACGCAGCCATTTCAAGTCATCTGTGCCAGGACTGACATCAGTGTCCTATGCACAGTGGATGCAGTGCTTTGGGGTCCTTGTCACATAGCTTGATCATAGAGACAAGTGGGACCATCTTGGGTTGACTCCACTGCTTGGTCCAGGCCATCTGGCTTTGGCAGTGCAAACCTGGAGTTTTAGAAGGCTTCGATGTTTTTCTGTGTTTGGGTTGAATAAAATCCATGATGATTTGTCAAGTATTTGCTCCCTATCCATCCCAACAATTGTTACATGTTACCACATTTCTTTCAGTGAGCTCTTGGTTGTAAGTTTTGATAATCAGAAGATTCAGGGTTGAGCGGAAAAGATAGACTTGCATGGACATAAGGAATGTTCACATTTGGCTTCTATTTTGCAACTGACCCTCTTGACTCAGGCAGGTATGAGTGCACGCAGTCAGCAAATTATTGGGAGCACGCGGCTGTGGGGCGGGGGGATGGGGTGGGGTAGCGATGTCAGAAATCAGAGATGGCACCAGTGTTCAGAAAGCTCTCAGTGTGAGGTAAACAATGAGACACATGCTCAAAGAACTTCAATATAAAATGCCTGCTGGGTGGTGTCATAGAGAGGGATTAAGACAGACTTCAGTTCTCTGAAGGGGCAAGGAAGATTAAAGCCCCTCTTGCTGGAGACATAGGTGGTTTTCCTGGAGGAGAAGGCATTTGTTGAGCTGGGTCTTAAAAGGTGAGGACAGTTTAGAAATGAAGGGATGTGGTTAAACAAAATGTGATCTGTACATACAATGAAATATTCTTCAGCCTTAAAAGGGAAGGACATTCTGACATGTGCTATTACGTGGTTGAAGCTTGAGGACTTGACGCTGAGTGAAAGAAGCCAGTTGTATGTATTTTACCACAATTTTTTTAAATTAAAATTTAGAGCAAATTTTCACCAGGTGAAAAAGGAAAAGTAATGAAGGGAAGGTTCTTTCAACTCTAAGATTGCACATGAACCAAAGCAGGAAATTGAAGAAGGCAGGTTGTGTCCAGTCTGGGGGAAGGTCTGTAGGAATGAGGAAGAGATCAAGAGGAAAGCAGAAGCCAGATTAGGGAGGACCTCACAGGCCAGCAAAGGAGTTTGCATTTGGATTCAAGGCAGTGAAATGCATGGAGCTTTGTGGAAGAAGGTCCGGCAGCAGATTGAAAATGGATTGGAAAAGCTGGCTCCGAGGTCAGAGGTCCAGCCGGGATGCTGATGGTCTCGGTCAGAAGCCACAAGGGCCCGCACTTGGAGGCTTCAGAGCAGGAAGGGACAGATTTGAGAAATGGTGGGGAGATGCAATGAATAGGACTCTATAATGGATTGGATAAGGGTAATGGAGAGGAAGATATTAAAGATGAAATAGAGCAGGGAAATTCACTTTTTTTTGAAGCTCTTTTCAAAAGAGTTTTAGGATCATTATCATTTTTTGAAATGGAAGAATTTACAGCACTTCAGCATATAAAGCTGATTAAAGCAGAGCAGCTCAGATGGAAGCCAAGGTAGGGAGTATACTGGCTCCAATGCTCCTGGCCCGGGGATGACCACAGTGCCCTTACTGACATGGAGAAATCCAGCCTTGGTGATAAGGGAAGACCGTTGCTGCCATTAACAGAAAGAGGGAACTGGTTTGGTTATCAATTTGGTTTCAGGGCAATTTGATGGGCTAATGGCCATCTTGGTGATAATGAGCCAGAGGTAATCACCGCACATCTGGAGCTTTAGAGAGAGGGTAAGATTGAGGTTTCCATTTGGCAGTGATCTAGATATTATCCAATCTATGCCAACACAAACGGGATTGGCAAATCCTGTCACGGTCAGGAAAGAAGAGACCTGAGGAATGAGCCTTGGGAGACATCAACCTCAGACAAGCAGAAGAAGGAGGAGGTCCCCTGGCAAACATGGTCAGAGGTAGAACAGTCAAGATCACGCCACAATTGCCAGGTAGGGAGGGCCAAGTGTATCGTGGTCTCACGACATATACTGTCACAGAAGCACAAATCATTCCACCTACTTTTTTTCACTCTTTCCATGGCAGTGACAGTTCAGGGTGAAACCCAGAAGTCTCTCGCCCATTTAGTTTTTGATCTGGTCAAAATGAGCTTTCACCATCTCAAGACTTCAAAATGAGGAGGCATTCGTGTGACATTCACTTAGCCAGACATCAGTCACGGCCTCAGTGAACAAAAGGGCAGCTTCGGCTTTGGTTCCAGGATGTAAGGCCTGGTTTGCCGCACTGAACCGCAGAGTGACTGGAGTACCTTATTTACCCTAGTGTAAGTTTGGGGGCTGTTCCCTTATCAGAAGTATTCATATCAGGGTCACCTCTCTTTCTCTATCCCCCCACCCATGCTCACTCTTGCTGTCTTCATTCTCCTTCCTCCTCTTTCTTGCCTTTCTCTCCCTACCCCCTTCTTCCTCTCCCCACCCACATTTCCTACAAGATCTGCCAGTGGCTGTCTTGTTGAGATAATGAGACTTCTGTAATCACAGCACCTGACTAGCTCCGTGGTTGGGACTATCCGAGAACAAGCGCTGCTGATCTACCAGGGTCACCTGTTTATTCTCAAACTGTGTGCATTGTTACCTTTCTTTTGTCATGTTTCCTACTGTGCTTGACATTCCAAGTCTGTGTGAAAAGATGTTCTAAGAGGCTGAACCTTATGGCAACTGTCTGTCCTTTTCCCCAGGACGGAGACACTCCGAAAAAGACAAGCTCTGCTGCCATCACGGTTACCAACACGGCCGTTGCCACTGCCACTGTCACTGCTACTGCCGTTGTCACTGCCACTGTCACGGCCACTGCAACTGCCACGGCCACAGCCACCACCACAACCACTACCACAACCATCTCCACCATCACCTCCACAATCACTACGGGCCTCATGGATAGCAGTCACCTGGAGATGGCATCCTGGGCAGCCCTGCCTCTCCTGTCCAGCAGCACCGCCAATGTCCGGAGACCCAAGCTCACTTTTGACGACTCGTATGTTGTTCCCAGATCATCACAGATATGGTGTGGGGGCAGTGCATGGGGATGGGTGCATGCAGGATGGCTTTTTTAGCACCAAAGTAAGACTTCAGCGGCGGCCCCTCATCCCCACACATCCTCTGTCTGCACCAAGGAATGTCTTTGGCCCATTTTGATCATGGAGCTCTGGTACCATTTCCAAAGACAGGTGCTTAATTCTAGGTTGCTTTGGCCCCCTTTCTTTCTTTTTGTTTAAAAATATTTTATTTATTCATTTGGCAGAGAGAGAGAGAGATCACAAGTAGGCAGAGAGGCAGGCAGAGAGATGGGGGAAAGCAGGCTCCCCAGCGAGCACAGAGCCTGATACGGGGCTCGATCCCAGGACTCTGAGATCATGACCTGACCCAAAGGCAGAGGCTTAACCCACTGAGCCACCCAGGTGCCCCTTGGCCCCCTTTCTTATCCATGTCCTCAGATTGAACAGAGCGCCAGCAGCAGCTGGGTTCGACGGGGTCCACGGGATGTTCGGACAGTGGAATGATTGGGTTGCAGGGGCCAATAATGTGTCCCAGTGGGCCATTACACACTTGACATCCCACTTCTGGGCTTCTTTCAAAGTTGGTTATTCTGCAAATGCTAGCAGTCACCTGCCTTCTCCAAGGCATTGTCTTGGCATGGATTTATAACAAAACTATTTGTGGTTCTTCAGTCTTTTGGGGAAAAGATGAAACTTTAAGGAGTCTGTTTTGTTTCTTCAGGGTTCACAATGCTGATTATTACATGCAAGAGGCTAAGAAGCTAAAGCACAAAGCTGATGCGCTGGTAGGTTTTTCCCTTCTCGCTGCGTCCCTCCCATTCCGGTATCATGTTTTGAAGGGAAACAAAGAAGCCATCTTATCAATAAGTCCAACTGCCTCATTGCTATGCTGACATAGGCAGATTGGGGCTGATTCATTCCTTACACCAGAATTCCCGAGCTTTTGGCAGCATGTTGCCCTGCCCTTATTCATGTTCTTGCTCTTCTTCCCCTTGCCCTAACTTCTCAACTTAAATGCCACATACTGTTGCGGGCTTTCAAGTGAATTCGAGATGACTTTTGAAACTTCCCTGGAGAAAATGGGAAATCCCTTTAGTTTCAGTAAATCAAAACTGGTGTAGACAGAGACAAAGTGGTTGACAGCTGGTCAGGTGGCCTCAAAAAATGGCTTTGAGAAACCCAGGTGTGTAGAAAAAAATGCAGCTCCGTGCTGCACTGATTACATGTTTCCAGGTGAGGCCCACAGTCAGGCTAGGACCCCACACAGAGAAATGAAGTTCTGTCATCCAGAGTTCTGAGGACACATGGCCCTGTTTCCTCCAAGGGTCTTGGCCACTGAGACCAATGATGATCTCAGCATGTTGAGTTGTCTTGATTGCTCCTCCTAATGGGGGTCTCAGCCACATGTCACAATTACTCAGGAAGCTTTAAAATAAACCCAATGCCCAAGCCTCACCCCAGATAGATGGAATCAGAATTTCTGAGATGGGGACCCAGGCATAGATATTAATACTCTCTACTGCCCCCAGAGAAGGGCAGTGCCTCAGTTCAGGGTCCTCACCTCAGTTCAACTCCATTATGTTAAAAAAAGAAAAAAGCCCACTGTCCTCCATCATGGCAGTGTGTCTATCCAGGACTTAGCTGGCTCACAATGTTGGACAGTCATTTTCCCACTGCGGTCCAAATTGCTCAGGTATTGTCTACGGCTAACCTTTCTGTGGCAGGAGCGCTCCTTTGAAAGCAGACAAAAATGACAAGGCAGGCTGGGTACCCGCTCCACTGGAGATGCTGAAGAGACTCATGGGCTCATGGAATGGGACTATGTAAGAGAGGTTTGGAGGAACAGAAAAATCAGAGTCACAGAGATATATATTTATATAGGGTTAAGAGCCAACATCACTCTGTACCTTCCAGGGCTGTGTTTATGTGTACCCCCAAAATCACTTTTTGTCTAAGCCATTTAGAAAATGCATTTTCATTTGAGGTGACTCCAACCCCCCTTGGGGGCAAAAGCCAGTTTTGGGGGTAAAGTAAAAAAGTCAGACATTGGAATGGTGCATGACCCTCCAGTCCACAGGGCACGAAGAGATGCTGAGCATATTTTTGGTCTTTATGTTTCGGTGGAGGTGTGTGAAAAAAATACCTCAAATAACTCCCACAGGGTTCAGGGGAGAGGTGGTAATGATGGAAACAAAGGTTGAGAGACATTCATTTAGAGGAAGATATCTTTGCTAGGCTCATGTCTGTACCAGACCCAGAGGCCCCCTGTTGTTTGTACCCCTTGGTTTATGGATGGGGAAACTGAGGCCTGGGACCAGGGTAGGACCTGGCCACAAACTGGCACAATGACCACGTAATTGTCTCTCTGGACTTTTCAGTCTCTCCTTTTGGAAAAAGAGAGGTTTGGTCTAGGAGATCTTTAGGAAGCCTTTCTGCTGTGGGTTTTTGAATGAGAAATCACTTTGAAAAATCAAGATGTGAGGAAGAATTTCCTCACAAGAGAGGCAGTCAGAGCCAGATTACCTAAGGAAATAATCAGGTGAGGCACGAGAAGGAGGAGATAGTTTACATACACACACATAGGTTTTCATAAAATCGCTTTGAACGTGGTTGAAACCAATATTCTTCCATAACAGCTCACAGTGAGGAAACTGCAGAACATTTATTGTAAAAAGAGTCATTTACAACAGTGGTTCTATAGGACCTGTAACTCATCATTTTATAGTTGTACTTAATCCTTTTCCAGAGACAGCTACTCTGCCATTTTGAGAATTGAAACCTTCACAGCTGCAAGAAAATATTTTGATAAAAGGTATACAAAAAATTAAAATAACTAAATCTGCATTATATTGGTTCTTTTTACATAAAATCTCGTATTAGTGGAATTCTTACAGCCAGCTATCAAAAAATTGAAAACATTAAATACTGTTATAAAATACTCACTATAAAAGTGTCATATATAATATTCATTATACATAAAAAAGAAATCAGTATGTCTGAGTCAGTTTAATCATGACCATTATCGGGGTTAAAACCTTTTGCAATAAAATTTTACTAAACTAAAATATTTAGTAGTGCTATATTTTTTGGCTTTTTGACACACTATTTCAGGCCATCATTTACAATGAAAGTGATATGATTCTTGTCAACAGTCACACCGGAAGCTTCACATTTTTCATGACAATGGCATCAATTTGTTACTCCTCCCCTGGGGATGGGGTTGATGTGATCACAAAGACTGTATAGGGAAGTTGCCCATGAGTCTCATGAAAAGCAGAGTTTCAGGACCAGCTCTGCCCATAGGATGTTCCAAGGCCCTGTCTAGTCAATTCCCGGGGGGGGGGGGGTGCAAAATGGCCCTGGAGTTGAGACCTGCTCCTTTACCTGGGGGGAGAAAAGAGGCAATATGCTGTTAACGAGTCATCTTCTTGTTTCAGTTTGAGAAATTTGGCAAAGCCGTGAATTATGCCGACGCAGCCTTGTCCTTCACTGAATGTGGCAATGCGATGGAGCGTGACCCTCTAGAAGCCAAGTCTCCCTATACCATGTACTCTGAGACCGTGGAGCTCCTCAGGTTAATGGCCTCTCTGCAGACATCTTCCTAAGCTCATCTCAGTCATAATTAGAAGCTGCTATGTTTTTTTAAAACTATCATTTCCTCCTACTAATGGTTTGTCTTACGCATCTTCTTCTTAGAAGTCATCGTAATTAGTTCTTGCCATTTTATTAATGTCATGGAAATTTATAATTGATGGACACTGCTTTTATAAATTATCCCCTTCAGAGGTTGTAACATGAGTGTTATAATTTGCAATATTCATAAAATTAAAATGGAAACGTAGTGGATGGAAGTAAAGTATAATAATTTCACCATTTGGTATTGACACTTGCCTTTTCAAAGTGCAGTTTTATAATTCAAGGAAGGTGGCGCTATCAAGATTTCTGTTATAAACCATGTTTTCTCAGAATTTCTGCGTTCGTTGTTAAAAAGGAGGGGCCACTGTTCCTACACAAAGTTGGCTTGAAGGCAGCAGGTATGCATGAACTTCCCCTGTGTCTGTAACTTCAAGGAAACAGACAAGGTGGTAGGAGGGGGAGGGGTAAAGATCAGAAGATGTGAATAGGAACCAGTATATTAACTGCGCAGATTATTGGTCTCATTTGCATTTGAAATGAAATTTCCTGGCCTGCCCTTGATCTTGGTGGAATAAAATTTGTGAGTAATCAGAAAAATTCCTGGAAGAAGCGGAAAGAGAAGAAATGCCCACTGTTGTATTTTCCAGCAATGTGCAGATATTTGTAAAATAATTGAAAAGCACCATCATTTGCTGGATGGACTAAATAATTGCTTTTGTTTGAGTGAGCAGTTCCTCACCTGATAAGTCCTTTCTATTCAGGTCACCTCTGGCTTGATTAATTGATAATGCCAGGCCTCGCTTTTACTGTTACAAATCGGAGACCCTTATAATTAAACCTCCAGACAAACATTGGATACACTGAGCATGCATATTTATCCAGCAAAGTCTTCCAAAAGATCAAAAGAATGCAAAGTATTATTTAAAAAAAAAAAAACAACTGTGCTTCCATAGACTCAGAAGAGGAAGTTCAAGTCACTAAAGTAGGGGTTTATGAGGAAAGCAGCCTCACCTTGCCAGGCAACCACCTTTGGCTTTCCTCTGTTCAGAGAAGCATGTAAGGCATCTATCTCTCAGACTTGCTTTCTGCTCTGTAAAAGCCACCACCGCCATTCTGTAGCTTTTAACAGGAAATTGATTTCTCAGTGTATTCGAGGCCACCAGTGATTTTCAAAGATGCACAGGATGAAATTTCTGGCAAAAATTAAAAGTCAAGGGGCAGCATTAGTGAACAAACACAGAGAAAATTCATGTTCTCTATCCATCCAAACATGCAAACTTTTTTAAAGGCACTTTTTAAATTAGTAAGAAAGTTAAAAAATACTAATACCTAGTGTTTAGATACACACATGCATAGACGCGCCAAATAATGGTGACCTAGGCCTCACCTTTGCTGGGGGAATAGAAACTGATCATTATAAAGTGAGGGAAATTTGGCATTATGGAGGAAAACCTTTACAAATGAGCATTCATATCTTTTCAGCCAGTAATTCAACTTCTGGAAATGTGAATTTCCTGTACTGAAAAAAGTAATTGTGAGAGTAGAGCGAGTTATCTGTATGGTGTTAAGTTTGGCATATATTATAGCACACAATTAGAAGCAAACCAAATAATCAATCACAGAAGAGTAAGTAATTACACTGTAGTACACTCAACAGAATTCTTTGCAGCCAGTGAATATCAGCCACGATGGAGACTATATAACTGCAGAATTATATACACACCGCATTTCTGGCCATGAAAAGCATGTTTCTGCCTGTAGACCATGCGGGAAGGGAAATGAGATCCCAGCTGCAGTAGGGTGAAATGATGGGTGTTTCCCATCTCTCTATATTTTTCTTTCTTCTTCATTTTCTTTTAGGAAAACACATGCTTTCTTAAAGATACAAAAGCAGAGCATCGTATTTCATTTCTGGTAAAAATGCAGTGCGAGTCTTGGAGTAACATTTATTCCCATTAGAAAACACTTCTTTTTCCATTATTATTTACAGGGGAGAATGTATGGACGTTCACTTTAGAGTCAATAGTTTGAAACTTTATCTTAATTGTTGATTCCCGAGCAGTTGTAAGAAATGATCAGGAAAGTTCCTCTGGCCCCGCGCCCAGTTTCCCCCAACAGTATCACAAACAAGACAGTGACATTGACAAAATCCATGATTTTTTTCAGAGTTTCACATGCACCCCTTCGTGTGCCCTCTGTTTACATGTACAGATTTCACATTTTCTGTAGAGCATGTGTGGGTATATATATGGGAGTGTATATATATATATTCATATGTATATGTATATATAAATATACATATATATATTTAAGAAAATTTCAGTTGGGAATAAAATGGGCTAAAACAATTTAGGTCTTCTGGTCCCTTGAGGCAACTGAAGTTCCATGAGCCACTCACTTCAAAAGTTGTTGCAATTAGAGGGTAACTAATATGAACATGGTTTTTAGTGGCATAATATGTGGTGGAGAGATTTTTATCACTCTCTGGCAGTATGCTGGCCACAGAGAGAGCCCAGTTTTCTTCCTTCAAGCAATTATAGCAGCTCCGAGCCCTGGGAATATGCAGTAGAAATATATTTGTGCAAACAAGTGGGACATCACAATGACTTGACATTTCAGTGATCCAACTGTCAAAGACAGTTTGATTTATTACATAATAAAAATCCTTTCGCTTAATATGGCAACAGAAGAGACCCACACCCAGTTCACAGGTCTTTTTGCTAGAAAATATTCCTTCATAGCAGTGGAGCTATAACCAGGAGACAGGGTGCCTGGTCTTAGGGGGCAAGCCCTGGGGCACCTGGTGTTCTGGGGAGGCTGTTAAAAATGGGGAGTCCATGGTGCAGGCTCTCCATCACCTTCTCATAAATAAGAACGAGCCCAGGCTGCCTGCACACTTCCAGCTTCCTTTTGCAATGCTGAACTCAATTACTTATTCCTCCACAGGTACCTGTGAAATTGCATTAAAGCTCAGACAATGATTTTATGCAATGAATTGATTTTCAAGAGTCTAAATGCCCGGAATGGAATGTGCTCAGCTAGAAGAAAAAAATGAGAACCGTTCCACCTTTGATCACCCCAATGTGGAACGGTAACAATTAAAGAGAATGGAAAGACAAAATATACAAGCACCATAAATTAAAGGCTCTTAGACCCGCAAATGCTGTGAAATTGACCTTCCTCTTAAAAAAAATAAAACCACTTTCTATAGGAATATCTTCAAAACATGAGCCATTAGAAAAGACCTTTTTAACTGTGTGATTGTGGGCTCCCCGTGCCTATGTCAGACAGAGTCATGTATTATTTACTTTGTCTGTCATGAACTCAACTGAGACGGACACCTGTGGCCGCCTATCATCGCAGACCGGTCGTGCTGGTTAACTAGACGGTCTGTGGCCAGCATGGTTTTTATTTGTTTGTTTGTTTGCTTGTTTTTATTTAAATTTCAGTTAGTTAACATACAGTGTTCTATCAAGTGTATGATACAGTGATTCAGCACTTCCATGCATTCCCCCGGTCCTCATCACAACAGGTGCACTCCTTAATCCCCATCACCTGGTTCCCCCCGCTCTTCCCCACCTACCCAAGTCACCATCAGTTTGTTCTCTAGAGTTAAGAGTCTGTTTCTGAATTTGTCTCCCTCTTTTTCTGCCTTTGCTTGTTTGTTTTGTTTCTTCAATTCCACATATGAGTGAGATCATGCGGTATTTGTCCTCCGCTGACTGATTTAGTTCACTTAGCGTGACACGCTCTAGTTCCATCCACATTGTTGCCGATGGCAAGCATTCGTTCTTTTTGAGGATTTTGCCACACTATGGTAGTTCCACAGCACTGCCCTAGAAGGTGGGCTCCACGTTTAGCTGACCTCTCCAGGGCTGACTTCTGTATGCCACTCTTTGGATCATCACTTCACATGTGTTTCCAGGAACGCGTGTTCCTGCCCACCCGACCTACATTTTCCTCCCACCCCGAGCAAATGTGGCACTAAGGCATTCAGGCGATGGGAATAGCAATGACTTCTAGACTCTCTGAAGGGTCGTGCGGATGGCACTTGAGCTTGTCCTTTCTCTTCAAAGGTACGCGATGAGACTGAAGAACTTTGCAAGCCCCTTGGCTTCGGATGGGGACAAAAAGCTGGCGGTATTATGGTAAGTCTCACAGAGGTTGCGAGGAAGCAGCTGAAATGTCACAGAAGGATTTGAAAACTCCAAATCGACTTAAGCTGCTTACCCCAGATCATTATTCTTGTTTTCCATTAAACTATTAAAGGATAACTAATGGATTTCTTCAGTTGCTGACTAAACATTTACTCTCCCAATTTATACCCTTATCAAGATGGGATTTTAATGCTTACCCCTTCTCTTTGAAGCATTTTCTTTTTTTTACTTCTGGCTCTCAGTAACTATAAGGGAGGGAACAGAGCCTGTGAATCAGCATTTTTGTTGCATTAACATAATCTTTTCCTCCTTGCCACAGCTACAGGTGTTTATCACTTCTCTACTTGCGGATGTTCAAGCTGAAGAAGGACCATGCTATGAAGTACTCCAGATCACTGATGGAATATTTTAAGGTAATCCTTATTTTGTATAATTTATAAGTACCGGGTGGACATAATCACTAATGAGACATGGCAAGCATGTGATTAAATGTCAAGGTTGTTGCTGCAACAGGCTTAGCCTCTGTCATCCCAGCCGGCCATGGCCCTCCTGCCTCTCTCCCTCGGGGCTCAGCAGAGAGCTCACCTTTGATTTGAATCCTGGGAGAGAAGGTGCAGTAGTGCGATCCCTTGATTACCTTCTGGACTGGCCAAATGACCCTTGACATCTTCCTGGTTGCAGTCAGGGGAATGATGCTTGCCTTCTTCCCCCCCTGCATGGTAGGGACACACCAGGGGACACAGGTTGTGTCCGTGGTCATGGCCTGTCTCCTGTGAAGTGAGCAGCCAGCCCAGAAATGTCTTAACAGTGGGAGAAGTTGCTGCAGCCACCCTGGGCTCTAGGGGGATAGCCATTCCCGTAGGAGCCTTTTAGCCATGGGTAGCCTTGGAGGGCAGTGGTTGCACTTGAAAACTAGTGATCAAAATTAATTAATTAATTGATTAATTAAATAATAAAATAAAACAAAACAACTGATTGCTCTGGTTACCAAAATAAACTAGCACACAAACAAATAAATAAATCCATGGTCTAGGGAACTGGAGATTTTAATTCACAAGCAAAAAAGGAAGGGAAGGGAAAGGAAAGGGAAGGGAAGGAAAGGAAAGGAAAAAGAAAGAAAAAGAAAAGAAAGGAAGGAAGAAAGGAATTTTAACTGCAAAAGAATGCCAAAATTTAGGACTGAGCCCAGATAAAAACTGGCCACTGACTGGCTTCATGGTCTCCGAAGCTTCTGCTTCATTTGCAGCCCCCCCCCAAACTGGTTATGATTTAGATTTGAGAAGGCTCAAGGCTCCTGTTGGTCATGTCTTAAAGGAAAAGGATGATTATTTATTATTATTATTATTATTATTATTATTTCTGCCATGTGCATGAGACTGCTTAGCTAAATTGCACCAAAGCAGTTGTCCGAGATGAATTGAACCCTGACCCTCACATTGGTCTCCCAAGTGCAGTAAGTGGCATAGGGCGTGGCTGAAGGAGCATGCCGACTGGGCTGGGGAAAAGAGCACGTCCACCAGCTACTCCCTGGTGTGGTCACAATTCCATGAAGCTGGTGCTCATGTAGGGGTGATGCATCAAATACAACAGTTGCCCATCGCCCCCTCTACATCTCCGCTCTCCACCTGTGCCACAGAAAGGTGGCTCTCGAACCTGAGTGGGCATCTGGAGGCCCTGGGGAGCTCATGAACCCTGAGTCCGTGGTCCCATTCTCAGAGTCTGCTACTGGAGGTCTGGGACAGGGCTGGAGAGCCGGCACGTGTAACGAGTTCCCAGGGGATCCTGCTGCCACTGCTGGTCTTGGGCTGATGCTTAGAGAGCCACAGCTCTAGTATCTGTCCTCTTTGGCCTGTTCTTTGTGGTGTTCAGGGCACGGTAAAAATGCCAAACAGATTTTGAATAACTCACTCTTCTGGCAGCGTGCTGAGCTGCTTTTAGATGAAAAACTGGAGTTTGCAGAACACAACTTAGATGCAGGTCTCCCTCCATGCACCAGAGAAGTGTTGCCAGCCTGGGCTCCTGAAAATGCCTGACTCTCCCTAGCACCTCATTTGCAAATGGGGCTGGGCCGCAACCCAAGAGGCAGGGAGGAACATAACCTTGATCTTTGCCGGAGAAGGCCAGCCTGAGTCAGGCTGGGAGTTGGGGGGCTAGTCCTGTGCACTTTGGGCTCTGACCCAGTAATGTCATTGTGGTGAGCTGGACCACTGTCCTAATGTGGCGGTGATGAATGCTCTAGAGGTGTGTGGCCCCCTCAAATGCAGGAGGCCCATTTTTGAAACCAGCCCAGTTCCATTCAGAGGGACAAAGAATCCTCAGTGGTCCATGGCAATGCACCCCCGGATCAGTGGCATTGCTAAACAGGGATTTGCCTGTTGCTCTGCTCAGTTCTGGCCCATTCCTGAGAAGTCAGAAATTACAGCCCACATTGCATCCCAGGAAAAAGTTTGCCATGGGAGCTAAAGGTGAAAGGCTTGCCAGTACTCTGAAGAGCTTGTTTTGCAGAATAAATTTCAGATGAGGATAATTAAGCCACTTCTTGGAGAACTGAGTCTGATTTCACTGGGCCTTTTAGTATATAAGATCTTTCATCAAGTGACTTGCATGGTCCTGATTGGAGCCCGCTAATTATCCTACCCAGCTATTTTCATCGAGTGTGCGTCGTGGTGTGCTGACGTGCACTTAACATCCCAGCTCTGCGAACAGAACAGGAGGCATCCCGAAATGCTGCAATCAATATTAATGTACTCAAAATCACACTTCCATCTGTTTCTGAATTAATAAAACACAAAATAGATGTCCTTATTTCCCTCTCTCTCTCTCTTTTTTAGCAAAATGCCTCAAAAGTCGCTCAGATACCATCTCCCTGGGTAGGCAATGGAAAGTAAGTATCTTACGAAGATCGCTTTTTCAGAAACTCAGCAATTTAAGAGACCCCCCCCCAAATATTTTGTATCAACAACTCAGGAGCGAAGGTCAGTCCTGACACTAGAGTGATTTTTGTGCGCACAAAAATCTGGTCCAGTTTCAGCTAAGGGCAAGACAGAAAAGTTTAATGGGATGTAATTCCAAATTTCTTCAACTATTTGATCTTTAAGCCAAATTATGGCCATAAAAATATCTGTTAATGAGATGGCAAGCACCGTGCCATTTCAAGGGAGGCAGGGTAAAGTTAACTCCATGGCAGTGATTTTTCAATGATTCACTTGGTAATGAAAGAACGATGAAATATTCATTGATACATACTAAGTGCCATTTAATAAAACCAAAGGCATAATAGTGTTGAGAATGTGAAGGCACTTAGTCAGCCAATTATCTGAGCTTTCATGGTGATTTTTATGTTAATACTAAAACACCCTGACCTAAAATACATAGAGCATCCACTCTACTGCTGATCTAAGGCTCAGCGGAATCCCCCAATCTCTCCTCTGCTCAGAGTTGGAAGAGCACCCACTGGGTTCTGAGGCTGTCCCAAGCTCCCAGGGGGACTCAGGGAGGGGCAGGGATGGTGGGTGGGGCACAGGGGTCCCTTCCCAACACTGGGCGTGTTCCTCCAGTTCTACAAGGAAAGAGCTGGACCCCTTGGCATCTGAGGCCCCTGCAAAGAGCCGTTCCTGCTAAGAGGAAGATTTGGAAGACCAGTTCTGTCCCTGTAGCGACCTGGCTCCATGCCTGCCCTTCTGTGCTTGAGCATCAGCGTTCCTTCTGATTCCAGTCCCTCCCTCACCACCGCAGGCCCACTTGCCACCACCACTGGGAAGGGAAACTCTGTGACTGCAGACCCAGGGTTTGACAAAGAGCTGCTTTTTCCATTTCTCATTGTTTCAAAATTCTTATGTCTCTGGTTCATACATTTTCTTCCAGAGTATGATAGTATCCTTTTGCCACTTTATAAATATCTACAAAGCGAATTCTCCAAGCAGTGGAACAGGAACTCTACTTCGATATCATAAAAACATTCAGAGTGAGGGAAGAGACCCATTAAAAACTCTGCATTATCTCAATTACTGTATTGAAAGGAAGTACCCTTTAAATCGTTGATTAAGTCTTACTTTTATATTGATGAACTAAAGCAAAAGAATGCTTCTCGCTAGAAGTTGAGAAAATAAAAATAACCATTGAAAGGCCCGGGGAAAGCTATTTTCTCTGAGCACAGAGTAGAGTGAGGGCAAGTTCAGGTAAGCAACCATTAAATGATTTCTGGGATTTTTTTTTCTTTTAATTCTGAAACGAAAGAACTAGAATGCATCCTAAGCTTGTGAAGTCACATTAAAAGCCTCCTGAAAGGATGTTTTAGGCAGCTTCTGTGTGAAGAAAGCTCACTCCCTTTGGTGGGCCAGAAAGATTTTGAATGAAGTAACTCCAAAGGGTCACCCAGGGGTTGCCTCTCATTCATTCAACAAAAAACTCAGATGCATTTCCACATGAGAGGCACACCTGACTCTGATGGGATCCCTGTACTCCAGAAGCACACAGTCCAGTTGAGGGAGGTGCCAGATCTGTACAAAGGTCTATGGAAGCCCAAGAGAAAACAAGCTTGGTCTTCCCTGGATGGTCATGGAGGGCATCTTCTATACAAGCAAGACCATAGCCTGCTTGCCCCAACACAGGAGTGTGGCTGGCACCACATAGGGCTCCAACAGGCACCTTCCAGAGGCAGCAACCCCTGACCATGAGGGCTGGGGGAGAAAATTGCAAAGAAGCAGTTGGAAGAAGGAGAAGAACAATCTGCTTAGTACTGAACATGGATTGGCAGACTTTTTCTGAGGCTTAGATGTAATATCTGAGCACCATGTTTGGCACATAGTAACTTTACCATTTGAGCTGGAAAGCATACACTGTCCCACCCCTAGAACTTCCACAGCACTTGGTGTATACTTTGTCTTGGGCACTTATTCTAGCTTGTCAGAAACTCATGGGTCTTCTCCCCTACTAGACCATTCGTTCTTCCTAATAAGGGGCTATTCATTATTTCATTTACCACCTATTTGCTGAGTGTGTACTATGGATGAGACACTCTGCCAGGCACTTGACAGACACACCCCCATCCTTGTACTATATGTTGTGCTCCTACCCTCTCCAGAGCCTCTTCTATGTAGTGGGTACTAAATAATGACAGAGGGATGGTTGGAAGACAGTTCATTCATTTATTTAACTAACATTCATTAAGTACGTAGTATGTGCACCAGGCACTGTTCTAGATTCTGGGTATAGACATAGACAGAAATCCCTGCCCTCCTTGAGGTCACCTTCTGTTAGAAGAAACAGAAAAAACTATGGGTTTTGCTAAATGGTGGTAAAGGTCATAGAACAATGGAAACCAGGAAGGGAGATAGAAAGGTTGTCTGGGGATTGTGTGGGGAGCAGGACACCCATCTTGAATTGGGATGTTAGAGAAGGATGGTGGAGAATAGTCCATATAGATACCTAGGAGAAGTGCATTCCAAGCAGGACAACAGCCATCTTCCAAAGTGGGGTGTGCCTAATGAGTCTGATGAACAGCAAGGGGGTGAGTGTGGCTGAGAAATGGATTAGACCAGTGTGCTAATGGTGAAAGCAGTGGGAAGTGTGTGCCTGTGTGTACACCCTCATTTGCATGTGTCCTGAAAGTATGAAGAGAAAGACAAGATCTACAAGTAGACCCACAGAAAGAAAACAGGACAAGGAACTCCAAGCTGTGTGGAAAGCCAGGCAGGAGTTAGAGGCCCCCCGAGATGAGCGTCACATTGTACCCTTGTAACCAGAGTCACAACCTTCCTTAGGCAGGTTGGAATTCTTTCATCAGTACAATGTGGCCTGCAGATACACTCATCGGGAGGTCACTCCTAGAGCCTCGTGTAAGATCCACCATGACCAAAAGCAAACTCGTGCCCTAGCTTCCCTTGCATCTGCTACTGATTGTTTACCAAAAAGTAGGCAATAAGAGGCAAAGAAAACCCTTCAATTAACATTTTGATGTTGTAAGCTCAAAAGGCCTTTTCAAGATGTACAAAGTAAGCAGAGGTGGTGTGTTTCCCTTTGTGACTTCTGGACATGATTGGAAATCATTGAATCCACCCTTTTCTTTCAGTCAAGGAAAGGCTCAGCAAGGGGAAGGAAGGGACATGCCTGGAGCACAGAGAAATTCAGGGCAGGGCCAGGGTTAGAATACAGGTATCCTGGGATTCCAGTACATTCTCTGTTCCCAGAATGGCATGCTTCCCCTTTCAGCATTTGAGACACCTGACAGCTTTGTGAATTTTCTCCAGAGATTACAAATGAAGACATACTCACTTCTTGCCTTAATTTGGCATCGAAGAATTAATGACCACTACTTAGAGAAAAGTAAATAGCATTTGCAAGCAACCATAACAAAGAAATCCAGCATTCACTCCCTGTTTTGTGTGTGTGTGTGTGTGTGTGTGTGTGTGTGTGTGTGTGTTTTGGGGTGACTTTTTTTTTTTTGATCATTAGTTAACCCTTCTGTGCTTAGGCTTTTTAGCTTAGAAAGGAGCCACTCCACCCCTGCCTTGAGAATAAATCTTTCCACCAAGAAGTGTCAGAACGTCTCAGAAATTAGAAATAGAGCACAAAAACTTTCCCATCCTCTCACAGACAAGTGCAGAGTGAGTGTGAGGATCCCCTTTCCCCCTCATACTATAATATACCAGAAGATATGCTCTGTTTCCAGAAATGGACCAGAGCACTCACAGGGCCTGGCACAACTTGCATGAGTCTTGAGCCAAGCATATCTGTTTGAGTTGCCCCTGGCTTGAGTTAGCAGCAGTGGTTGAGGCCAACCATTGCCTCAAATCCTGTGTGCATGGTACCTGTCAGGGTGCACATCTGCTCTGTGAGCACAGATCAGCTCTGAGGAACACAGACAGCCACCCTGGAAACCTAGAGTTGCCAGCAGCTATGGCTAGGAATGGTGAGGGGGAGTGAGAGGATGCCTTGATGATCTGCTCGTTGTGCTTGGAGGAAGGAAGAGGAGTCCCAAACACAACTTTTCCCATTTCTTCTACTCCCCCTCAAATGTTCTACTGTAACAAAGTGGTACATTGGGACACCACAGGGCAGTCCTTGGAAGTCTCAGTGAAGGAGGATAGGAAGGCTGGGGGAGGGGCATAGAGTTTGCTCACAGCCGTAGGAAGCCACCCCAGCCCTCCCTGCTCTGTGTGGACTGCGGGGGACTCCTTGTTGCTGCCGTTAAGGAACTGAACCAAAATCTATATCCAGACATTGGATCTGCCCAAAGTAGGGCCTGCAGAGACTTCTTTTCATGAACAGCGTGCAGGTGAATGGTCAGCAATTAACAGCCATCTCTGTAGCATGTCTTCGAGAATCTTGAAGAGATATTCAGAATCTTATTTTTTCCGGCTTCCCTAATACTTCTCCTTCCCTAATACTTCTCCTTCTCCCCAATAGCCTCCTTGGGGGGCTTTCAAGAATTGCACTTTGTTTATTGTGGTGACTGTATTTGGAGCAAATTGTCATTGCGGTTTCCACAAAACACTTTGATAATGGCCCAGTATTACACATCAGGCCTTTCCTAGCTGCCAGTAGCCATTCTGGAAACAGGTAGAGAAATCATCACAGCTCTGAGCAGCGTCTTTCTCTGAAACATCGCAACACTTGCTATATATATTCAAAATAAGAGCTACATGTGTGGAGAGAATGAATGCCAGCAAAAGATTCACCCAGCTCCCCCTGCTATCTTAAAACAAAAGAAGCAGTGTGGATGGAGTCACATGGGGTTTTTAGAGGCAGTGAGACATTGGTGTTCAACTGAGTTAGAAAAGGAGAAGCATGGCTCATTCTAGAGCTTGGCCCTGTAGTCCTGCGTGGGTTGGTCAGACAGGGCCGGAATGCGGTGATAATAAATAAGCTGTTTCTACTGTGGGGCTTCTAGAGAAAACGAACGTGTTGGCAGAAGCCACAGAATGTCCTCTGAGAGCAAGCTTCACTTCATATATGCTCACCACCCTAAACCTCATGTGCCAGTGACCTTCTCCTGAGGTCTCAGCATAGGAGGGAGTACTCGAAGGCTGCGATCACTCTTTGCAACCAGCTTCACCATGTTGTCTCTTCCCCTTCCCCCAGGAACACTCCATCCCCGGTGTCTCTCAACAACATCTCTCCCATTAACGCAATGGGCAGCTGTAACAACGGCCCGGTCACTATCCCCCAGCGCATTCACCACATGGCCGCCAGCCATGTCAACATCACCAGCAATGTGTTACGGGGCTACGAACACTGGGACATGGCCGACAAACTGACAAGAGAGAACAAAGGTATGCTTAACCCCTCCACCCATGCTCATTGGCCATAGTAGGGTTAACGGTGCATAGATGCACTTGAGTTTAACATGGTGCCTTATCTTCCCGTCTCTCTGATTTCCAGGGTGTAGAGGAAAGAGAGGTTAACTCAGGGAGGACACAGTAACCAATTTTTTTTTTTTGCTGAGAGAGTGAACAAAGCCTGGGATTTTATTTTTTTCTCCTTCAAAGCTTAAACTAATCTGAGCTGTGAATATTGGCAAACGACCATTTCAGATTTACCATCCATGGTAAGGATGGGCACCAAGAAACAGAGGTGAAGGAAAAAAAGAATCATTTGCAAATTAATTAAGATCCCGTTGGCCTCTGTGTGTCAACTTTAATTTGGGGGGTTTTTTTGTTTTGTTCTGTTTTTTGGGTTTTTTTTTTCTTTTTCTGGAGAGTTGAGGTTGAACTGAGGGCCTACTACTTTCATTACAACTGTCGGCTCGAATGAGCACATGGTAATACAGCTTGTGTTCAGAAGCAAAGGCCAAAGCTCAGCAGATATTTTTCACACTGACAGCTGGGATGAAGGATCAGGGTCCTGTTTGTGGTAACATATGGGGTTTGCTACAGAACCAATGCAGGGAGGACCCTGCTTCATCAGAGAGTGAGTCAGTGGTCTCTGGCAACTCCTGTCTCCATCTTGTGACCGTGGCTATTGCCTGGGTTCACAGAGAAGCCTCACTATGCTCATGAAGGAGGGATGCATGAACAGACTACACTCTTGCCCTGGCCATTCATTCGGCTTGGCTGATTCTGGCAAAGAGGGGCCCAACAGTTTAGAGGAGCAGAACTGTCTGGCCAGGACAGGGATAGATGAGGCAGCAAATGATAGGGCAAATAGTACAGTATCTGCATGCAGAAATTGTGGCCTGATTTCTTCCCAGTTACCAGTGTAACTGATACGTGCAAATAACCCCAGGGGCCAGTGTAAGTTTATAGCCAAGCTGTGGGTTGAAGTCTCAGGTGATGGAATGTGCTCTGATAGCCACAGAATCCTGGAGTCATATAGATATGTAATAATATGGAGTAAGAAAATAAATATTTGCTGGTAACTGGGAAGGGTGCTAATTTTGAAGCCTGATCATTTAAGTTGGAGTGCTGGGCAACTTCAAGAAAATTACTTAAATCTCTGAGCCGCTTCCTAGCTTCCATTGCTGTAATGGATATAGTAATGTATGTTGCCTCATTTGTCTCTGTTTTGTAGATAAATGAGGTGAGATTAAGAAACTCACCTCTGACATCACAGCTCTTAACGCTAGAAGCAGGAATTGAATCTAGAACTCTAAAGCACTAGCTACACTGCCCATTTAGAGAGCAAGATTCATAAGAGGTCCTCAGAGAACTTCACTGAGCTCCTGCCCTCAGTTACCTGAGTGATGGGCAATTCTTCACTTCTCTACTTCTCTAAGCTTCTGAAAATCCAAGGACAACTGGCCCAGATGGCCAGATCCATCCAAAAGTTCTAGAATTGCAAGTGAAAGGATAAGCATCTTAAGACTTGCCTTGCTTGTGGGCCTCCACTCTTCTCTTTTATTTTGTATTGGTAACCGGAGGGCAGTTCAGTATTTATGGATTTCCATCACAATTGCATCCATTTTCAAAATCTGTTAAGGTAATTCCTTCAAAATTAACCACAGAACTTTCCAGGAGCCATGTGCTGGCTGTGCTGATATCCAAGGGAAAAGGAGCTAATCTTATCTTTAGCACAGTGTGTCAGGAGTTGTTAAGTTCCCCACCTAATAATCAGAACAGCTCTGCAGTCTGCTTAGAGTCAGAGAGACTTCCCCATCTGTCTGGTCCACCTAGAGCTGGGAACTGCAGAGCTTCCCTCTTGACTGGGGACAACCATGTTCTTGCACTCCCCCACCCTGCTCCATACCTGCACACCTGTGCAGCTTCAGGCAGAGGACTCTGGTCCTAAACTCAGCCAATGAGGGTAAGGCTGCCCCCTGGCCTTTCGTCTAGAAGCCTTATCCCCTACCTCCCCAGCTTCTTACTCAAAGCTGCTCTTTAGAAGTGTGATCTGGGGATGCCTGGGTGGCTCAGTCATTAGGCGTTGGCCTTCAGCTCAGGTCATGATTCCAGGGACCTGGGATTGAGTCCCACATGAGACTCCCTGCTCAGTGAAGAGCCTGCTTCTCCCCCTGCCTCTCCTTCCTGCTTATGATTTCTCCCTCTCTCTCTTATGCTCTCTCTTTCAAATAAATTAATAAAATCTTTAGACAAACAAAAATTAAATAAAAAACGTTTAAAATTTAAATATTTTTTTAAAAATGGCAACCTGGATATCTAGTTAGGAATGACACATCAGGTTGTGCACAGAACACCCAGGGCGGGCATCCTGGCTCATGGGCCGCTCACGTTCATTCAGCAGCACCTAGGTCCTTTAGCATTCCCCTTAATATTGGGTCACATAAGAAAATATTTCAGGTGCCAAAAATAATTTACTCCTTTATCAGCAGAAATTACTTTTATTGCATAGTATAGGTTTAAAAGTATCACATAATCAAATGAAGTCAATACCTAGAGTTATACATAACGCGAAGAATCAGTGCACTGTTTCGGGCAATACCATCTGCGGGTCAGTCAAGCACATGGAACATCCCAGCCCCTTTAAGGTAGACTTCAGTACGCACCGTCCCCACTGCTGCCAGATTCCTCACCACCAACTGGAACAGACGGGATGTCCTCACAGTTAGGGTTTCCTCCTCTGTTGGGAGCTGACAAAGAGGACACCCAAGAGCCCTCCCATAACCAAGATCAACGCAATGGTGGACAAATAAATGCAGATATGAAAAGGGGATGCCTAGATACTTTTCTAGACATCACATAGTCTTTTCCACATACCCCCTCCCCAATCCAAAGCAGACTGTCCCAAACCCCAGCTCCAGTGGTTAGCAGTGTGGCCTCAGCACTGCCCCTTCTCCAAATCAGCTAGAGGGGAATCAGCCTGGGTAGCCTTTTCATCCATGTCCTTCGCAGCAAGGAGGGAGTTGTTCACGACAGATATTTGCAGGTCATTTCCCTTCCCTAAAGGAATTGGTAATAAGACTTACTGAATCAGATGTCTTCTAGATGTTTATTTAGCGTTAGCTGCTGATGGCTGTAGTTGCTGTCCAGGTTCACTGGCTATGTCTGCAACATGCCAAGAAAAATCCGTAAACTCAGTTCATTTAGACAAAGGGAAAAGAGAATACTTTCAATTCAGTAACACATAGAATGGCAAATGGCCTAATGTCCTATTGACCATGGCTCCCTACCATTTTGTGTATCTGAAAGTCTTTCTAAATATTAATTTATAATATTTAAAAATACAAATTTTCTATGTAATGTTAAAATATATTTAAATACATTTTATTTTAGGTATGTAATTTATGTGTATATTTTAAAATATATGTGTTATATATCTTTATTATATGAACATAGACAATACATTTTTATATATAATGTTGTGATGTGTGTGTGCATGCACGCACACACAGAACTCACAAACCTCCACAGGATTATAATATACTTATAGAATCCACTATTGGAAATAATATATAGTGATTTGCAAAAACTTACTATGAATCAACAGATTTAAATTGATTTGTGGTTTATGAATCACAGTAACACAAACATTACTTATGCTGCAGAATTTTTGGATCTACGTAAAGATTAAAATAATCATGCCTCCTATACATATGGAGATTTGGTCCCCTAGCACCTAGTCTATAAGTTTTTGTGGAATGAGTGAATAAACAATGAAAATTTTCCCAATGTCCACGTGGTTGTGTTATCATGTGAAGGCGGCTGAAGCGATCTGGCATGTATTTCTGTGATGATATTCAAAGGCCCGACCAAGGTCTGCTCTGATTTTCAGAATTCTTCGGCGATCTGGACACACTGATGGGGCCCCTGACCCAGCACAGCAGCATGACCAACCTCGTTCGCTACGTTCGCCAGGGACTGTGTTGGCTGCGCATCGATGCCCATTTGTTGTAGTGGGGGCCCCCATCTCCAGCATCACCACCCATCACTCTACCTCTACCAGAGCACCAATGGTCACTGGTGGAACTCCACTCACTTGAGAAAGTTCTCTTTGCTTATGTTTGTTTTTACGCTTCTTTTGATATCTGTGAAAAACAGAAGTTATTGTAAGTGGACACTACAACTTGAGAGCAGTATGTTTTATTACTTAGTCATTTTTCAGTATTTTATATGCATTTCTCAGATCCCACCATCCTTTTGTGCTTGATACAATGATACAGTCCCTACAGTATTGTTTTAAGCTCACACTACCCAAAACAAAAAATGGGAAGTACTTGTGATGATAACACGTTCCTGAGAAATGAAATGTCTTACATATATATATATACATATATATATATATATATATATATATATATATATATTTAGACTCAAAGGACCTACAAAGATTCAAATTTTCCACAATAGCTATTCCCCAAACTGTACTCTTATGTCCAGAAAAAAAAACGTATTTCAGAATCCATTGTTAAAATTTTGTGGTTCCCACAGACTCAGTCTCCAGGTGAGAATTTTCCTTGTCAACCCACTGGTTAGCTGTTGTAGCCACATCATAAAATCAAGAGTATTAAGAAAATAAACAAGCATAGCAATGCCACTCTCAAACCAATACTACATACAACCAGAGGACCTTCTTGCTGGCATCCCTTCCCTGATGCCCTATTTTTAAAATGTTAATGAGATGAAGTGGCAACATTTATTTTGACAACTTTAAGGCATCAGCTGGCATTAAATATTTTTGAACTCCCTGATCTGAAGCATAAATCCTCACCTGGGATTCTCTTTGTGTAAAGCTCTCCTTCTGAGGGGCAGTTAAATGGGTATACACCCTAGGAGCCAAAATACTGCACTCCAGTTTTAGAGATGAGAGATTAGAAGCCTGGAAATGTCCAAGGAACTCATACCTCTGCCTCTTTTGCAGCTGGTAGGCAGGTCCATTGCTGGAAGGATATTTTTATTGTATTTTGCTCAAATCTCAGAAAACAAATTTAAGTTATCACTACCTAGGAGTTAAAATATACAGTTTACTTCTAATTATAATCCACATTTCCACATTTTCTAGTTCACAGTGTTTCTCCTTCTCCTCCTCCCCCTCCTCCTCCTCCTCTTCTTCTTCCTCCTGTTCCTCCTCCTCCTCCCCCTCCTCCTTCTCCTACTACTACCATTCTTCTTCTAATTCTTCTTCTTCTTCTTCTTCTTCTTCTTCTTCTTCTTCTTCTTCTTCTTCTTCTTCTTCTTCTTCTTCTTC